CTGCAAAAACATTACTTTTGCTACGGAAGTTCATCATCTCTTTTCCTAGAAGATATGAATGAAAGAGAATATTACCTTGAAAAAATGAAGGAATGAGTCATTATTATGATATGCTATGCATACCACTCTCATGATACTAAAAAATGTGATGAAAATGCAAATTTGGAGAGTCCGAAATGGACTACTGGAATAGACGCCAGCATGGGCTTTCCATGCATACTGATTATTTCAAGTCCGCTCAGGTGTGAAGAGTAGATGTCAATTGTTCACATTTGAATTATATATTTAAAATAAAATTAAAATATATGTACAGATTTCTTGCTTCAAAATACATTTTCAGAATATGTTATATCGGACACTCTCCTGTCACATCCAACACCGTCACGAAATAGGCTTACTTTCTGTTTTAAGTGTTGTAATCTTCGGGTGACTTACAATAATTTCAGGCTTTCATTCCAATCTATAGAATGAACATGAAACTGATTCCGCTCGATGACAGATATGTGAAGATTACAGCAAATGACTAACTTGAGGGTTTATGAAATGTCACGTCTGACACTTTTCTTTGCACATAGGTGCACCTTTGACAAAAGAATGAGTGCAAGACTTTGGATTACGGAGTTTTCAGCCGCTACCCAAAGCAAATTGTTGCAGCCTTTATATGCTGATTTGTCATCCATGATGTAGTTAAATACATTTTGTACAGGTATACTAAACATATTACTCTGGATGTCACGTCCGACACCATGGACAGATTCGCAGGGCAATATTAGGGAGACATTGCTTCGCCATGGAGAAGTAATCATGGAGATGCAATATTGCTTGCAACCGATATTAATTGAAAGCCAACCTGGAGCCTTAATTGGGTCTGTGTCTCTTGCCAATGATGCGACAAAAACGGTAAGCCAACCTGGAGATTTAGGTTCTAAATAGGATTTTAAATACTGTGCTTTTTGCGATTTTCACAAAGTAACAAACATGAGTGCCTGATAATGTGTTGCTGTATTTGTGAATACCTGATTCAGGGGAAATAACGTTAGGATCGTCGCAAGCGATTCCATATGACTCACCAGAATGACTCACCAAATCCCTCTGAACTGGCACTGGAGATAGAAGTAGGAAAAATTTTTTAAAGGTTTTACAAGAAGAAGATACCCAAGAAGAGGCCTTAAATGAAGAACACAAATTGAAGTATTCCTTATTGGTCGAGCTTCTATTTCTCGTCTTTTTGAACTCTAGCATAGATAGTCTTGATCTTGACTCCAGAAGAATGACTTGCAGGAGGAATCATCGTCTCAAGTTCCACTCCTTTCCTGTAAGTTTCTTCTCAGTTCATTGATTGACCTGGGAATCTTCTGGTGCTTCGCAGTCCCTTCTGAATTATATGCACTTGAATGAGAGAAACCTGTAACGTCTCCCCGTTGATGATAGTGATGAAGGTGATGGGCCAGAGGTGGAGTGTCGACTTGACTATCTGCCATTCCCATATTGGAAAATGACAGACATTGCGATAGGTCTGTCATTTTCCCCCACCTTTTTTTCATTTCACCTATCCGCAGTTTCCGTAGCAACTGGACAACTCGACTCAGTGCGTTATGTGCAGCCTTTCGCCTCGGAGAGGGTGCCAGTCTAAGACTAAAACTTCCATTTACTTTCCAGCCATCCTGGATGACGGATCCATAGTAGACGTGAGGGGTTGCTAGTGGCCGACTAGACAGGGGTGCCAGGCGTAAGCGTGAAGTGCTGCATCTGGCATCTTACACTTCATACTCTTCTCCCATCTACACGCGACCTGGACGCGGGAAACATAGGAAACACTGTCTCTTCCGGATTTTTTAATACAGGCCTATGACATACCAAAGACAGTTATTTTTTTCTAAGTAGATGCCTAGGAGGTGGCGTAGAAGATAATTCTAATTATGGTATTGGGGCGAGAGGAATAGCAGACCTGTACTCCAGATGGTACTCCAGTCTTGTTCTTCTTCATAGTCACAATATTGTGACTATCAATAACAAGTGCCTCACCACACCCCCAGCGGATATTTTCTGCATCTTAGTCATTTCAAGCTGACGTTAAGGAGGTCACTATGGAATAAATCTCTCTTACGCATTTCTGCCACAAATCCTGGGTGTTGCACCTCATGTGTTATCCTTTCTCCCCCACCACAGTCTAATGAGGTGGGGGAGAGAGAGCCATTACAAAAAAAGTTGTACCACAAGAAAGAGCATTCCATTCCCTGCCTAATTACCTAACTCGTATAAAATTTGTATTCCCCCACTAAATTTCCGACTGTTTAAAGACGAAAGTGATAAGCTGAGAAGAGACGCCTAAACAATTCTATCTTATCTTCCATGTCCTCGACACTGGTGATGGTGCTTTTTAAGGATTCCAGGGGGCATCGGTGTTGTTCGTCTTCGACACGCACAACACCCTCAACTCATTCAGATTATCCCCCGATGTACTCAATGACATTTGGATAAGGAGAACTTCCACGCCAACGACATTTCTAAAGAAATAAGTCCCTGAGTCTTTCAACGTTTTCCATGGGGCTGAAGCTCCGAAACATGGGACTTGCACATGCAGTAGATTCAAATCTGGGACAGAGAGGACATTCTGTTCATCTTGAAGGAAAGGAATCAATGGAATCAAAAGAATCAAGGATCATGAAGATCAACTCTAAAAAAAAGACCTATGCTAAGATTCAACTTGCTGGTTGATGACCCACGAAAATTCCTTGATGCTGAAGCAAAGAAATACTCCAACACAGTCAGGACGTCAGCGCTCATCTTCAGATGCCTCCTTGACGCTTTGTAACCACATGCAATAATTTTCTCTGGGTGATGGACGAGTTACAGACAATAAACTTATCAAGTGGTGTAACCAGGAAGTCATCAGATCAGTCATCGCTGCTAGGTCTGATAGAAGAAAAGTAAATGCTTTCATAAGCTCAGTCCCTTCCAAATCACTAATTAGGAAACCGTAGATATAAAAATATTCCTGTGATATTGAACTTTTTATAGGTGTACTGGAGATGTGTGGAGTTCGGTTGCTGGCAAATAGCTGGGATTAATGGACCCAAAATAAATGGAAAAATCCTCTCCTGCAGAGCGCCAAGGGAGAGAGGAGGAAGGTTGCTTTGAATGTGAAAGGCACCATTTCTCAGCATTCTCAGTTGCAGCAAGTTCTTCTGAATCGGTGAGTTCATATATATCATTAACATAGGTGTTGTTTTCCTCGTCTTCACAAAGGGCTGCACTTCTTCTAGTCAGTAGGCACGTGCCTACTTGTGCGATAGCTATAAATGTATGTATTGCAGGCAGAAGATCGTGCATACTCTCATCTCTGAATGCCTTGAAGCATTATAGAAGAAAAAAGATTCCAAACAGCTAATTGTCATCACTGACCTTCAAGTTGATGGCCGCTTCCATTGTACCATGTGGGTCTTGGACTGACTCATATACTGGGTGAGCCATACCTCATACAAATACTTCTGCTTCTTGAGTAAAGACTTTGAGATACGAAGGCTTAGGATATAAGACTTAGAGAAGATATAATATTACATCTTGACCTTCACATAGGAATCCTAAAAGTACTAAAACTTTGTCCTTGACCTTCACACAGGCTGACCATCTTCCTTGCCGCCTATGAATCTCAGCACACACCTCTTCCACGGGGTGATAGTTCCAAGATGATCCACTTCCACATTTCCGACAAGCTTTTACGTGCGAACAGGACGTGATTGACCAGTGTGTTTCCTGTCATAGACGCCGCCTGTTTCATGACAGTGCAATAGACGAAGTCCCTCTTGTATCCACTGGAACTGCAGAAAGAGTCTACCTGGGTTCTGGCGATTCTTGGAAAGCTCCATCACAGATCAACTCTTCAGCATCAAGGCATCCATGACAAAAGCTGAAAAAAAGCAACACAGGATTGGATTTTCATCCATGCATATATTCAAGCATAACTTGCTTGGAGAAATTGGCCCTTTATCGATTACGTTACATGTACTGTATACTGAATGCTATTAACGTCTATTGAAAACTGTATGATGTATTATGGTTCACAACGCATAATCAAGTGCACAATGCGGTTAGATGATTTTGCAATCATCTGGCAAATCTAGAATATCTTTGACAAATAATCGCCGGCACAACGACAAGACGTCTGGAATTGCATGTATGACTTCTTCCCACTTCCTTCAATTCTGTTCATGACCCTGCCATCCCTCATCTTTTGATTTTACTACCAGACAAGGCTAGACAAATACGAGATGTATTCCTGTTTTCCAGTTCATCATCGAATCCTATTCCGGCTTATCTCTACAAGCATTCTCTTCTTATTCCTGAATCTGGAGTAGTTTGGATGCCTCTGACTTCTTTCACGTTCGGCACAAAGCCTGTTTCTCTCACTTCTTCCAGATTGGTGAGGGAAAACATGGACGTTGGGTCTGACTCAGCTCTAGAGAGTGAGCGATGCATTTTCCATGAGGATTCGCATGGTGTTTTCCCTTGCTTTCTCATCTGTGGAAGACTTCCTAAAAGTCTTCTTCGAATTAAAGCTAAGCCATGCCATATGAAGCAAAAGCAGCTGTCCAGTACTCTTGAGAAACGCTCTTGGACGACAGTAAGCAGTCAGACAGATCAGATGAAGCCCATGCAGCTGCGGAATGTTCGAGATAAAAGCTTCTCCAGCGGGCCTCAGACAATCAAAACTCTAGAGGCATGACAAAGGCTGGCAGTCTATGCTCGGCATAGACTGCTCAGTCTTTGCTCAGGAAGAACTTGTATTTCCACGCCTTCCAGCCACATGTCCAGAAAGACCAGTCAATGATCGAAAAACTGTTGCTGAAGTTGCCACATTTCAAGGCAAAGAATGAGAGATTTATGGGAAAATGAGTCACGCATGCCATTGGTAATAGCTGAAATATGCTTCAGGAAGCTTTTTTGAAATGCTTCCTAGAAAATGCATGAAACAGCATTTGTAGTTGACTAATTCATTATGTTCCTGTTTTCTTCACTGAACTATGGAATTATGCCAATGGTTCCACATTGGCTATATGGCTGTATTGTTTTTTCGACTCAAAAATGAAGCCAACTACATAATTCACAGCGGGTGCAATATATTAAATGAAATTCTATCCTCCTATCTAATGGCTACATACATTTAGTTCCTATTGTTCAGACACTATATGTGTCCTCGTTTCCCTCTCTTTAAGCAATGGACCAGTGATCCCGAGGAAGGGAGAGGATTGTGCCCATTTCTTCCAGAGTATAATGCCACTGCACTTTTTGCACAAGGTAATGCATCAAGTCCTTGAATTCCCTCATTAACGTGCAACTAGCAAGATGTCCAAAGCAATGCTCACATTTTCTCGCAGATAAAAGACTTTATGTGGGAACAGTACTTGATTTGGGAGGAATGGATCCAGTGATCTACCGAAGGCCTAACGAAGACGAGAACGATTATCCTTTGCGAACCGAACAGTATGACCTCAAACAGCTCAACGGTAAAATCTCAAATTGTCCTTGAACACGAAGATAACATGAGCTATTTTGCTTTTAATTCTGAGTCATAATTGCTATCAGGGCCTCATTTCGTGAGCTCCATGGAAGACGATGACTATGTGTATTTCTTCTTCCGAGAAAAAGCGTGTGAAGTCTCACAATCTGGGAAGGTATAAAAGTTTTCGTCTTTTCAGTCCAATAGTGAACGCAGGGCAAGTTTCAATCTTGCAAAGTCCTTTTAAACAGGAAGAAATTCATTCGCGTGTTGGGCGGGTATTGAAGAAGGACAGGGGAGGACCCAGGTCTCACTCACGAAGATGGACATCCTTTACAAAAGCAACTCTGGATTGTGAAATCCCCGGCGATTCTCCTTTCCAATTCACCGAAATACGTGAGCATATGAATGTCCCCAATAAATCACAAGTATAGCCCTTTACCCTAAACCGGCCATATCAATTCTTAATAGAATCCACGACGAGAAGAATCATGGAAAATGGCCAGGACATGGTCTATGCAGTATTCGCCACAAACAGAAACAATTTGGCCGCTTCGGCAATCTGTGCCTACTCTTTCGACGAAATCAGGAAGGTTTTCAATGGCCCCTTCATGGGCAAATCCAGTCCAAATTCGGAATGGAGCAAAGTTCCGGAAAACGAAGTTCGTTTGGCATCCAAATGCCCATAATACAATGAAGTTGAGACATAATTAGTTGAGAGTATGGTGAAAACCTTCTTCCTCATCAGGTGCCGAATCCCCGACCTGGTAGCACTCTAGTGAACGACAGTACGCTACTATCTGAATACGCTGTCAATTTCATGAAGTTGTATCCATTCATGTATGACCATGTTCAGCCAATCTATCAACAGCCCATCTTCGTCTTTTCTCAAGACCAAAATAAGTGTGTCTGCTATTGCTTTTAAATTCATGGAGAGGGATTTTCATCAAGCACAGTTCTATCCATTCAAATTCCTAGTTCCCGATTGAGCCGAATAGTGGTCGATGAGAATATTACAGGAGTGGATGGGAGCACTCATAATGTCATCTTCGTTGGGACAGGTAAAAGAGTAATTTGGACAAAGTGGATTTTCCATGTTCTTTCTCTTCACATTTGTGCTGCACTATAACATTTCAACGTGATTGTAGATGACGGGAGAATACTAAAGATTTTTTCCAATGAGGATAAGACCGCAGGGAAAGTGAATGCAACCGTAGTGGAGGAATTGGTTGTGTTGGGTAATGGGGGAAGAGTGGTGAATATGTACCGATACCGAGAGGAGGGAAAGCCGGCAAGGATCATTGTCATTGGAGATGAACACATCATTGCCTTGCCTGTTCATCGTTGCTATCTCGTCAAGTCCTGCAGGTGAAACCTCACACGCATATTATGCTTTCCACATCCCGCCGAGGCATCCTGTTCCCCTTGATTCCCATTGATTCTCCACTATCGTTTGAAATGTAGTGACTGTGTGAAGCTTCAAGACCCTTACTGCGCGTGGGACTCGGCGGGCGGTGGTCGTTGCGGCGAGGTGGGCAGAGGAAGTACCGCAAGCAACCTCTTCCGATATGTTCAAGACGTTCGTTCTGGCCAGAGCTTGAGATGTCCCCCGACAATGTCGCATCCTAATGATTCAAGCGAAAGGATGCCTGATGATATCGCTGGTGATTAGAATCTACTAATCCTGTTGTTTTTTTGTTGTCCTGTCGAATGCATTTCATATCGGTTATATCTGGCCCTTGCAGGCGACTCCCAGCCAGGAAGACAGTCTGGAGGTAAGGTAACAAAGGGTGAATGTCACTTCTACTACTTCCATTTCGCCATTTGAAAATCAGAAGCTCAAATCAAATGTCCCGAACTTGGCTGTGCCTCCAAATAGAGATTTCCTTTTTTATGCCCCTTATTGAGCAATGATTTTTTCATTAGATGATTAGAATATTATTTTAGTTCTTGTGGAAATGAGGAGGCATAATTGCATAGTTCATCAGTCGTTTGTCAGTCGTTTATCATTGCACAATTTATTACCTTCTTTCATTTTCTCATAAGCGTGGTAGAGTGTTTCGCGTTTTTGGAACGTCAAACGTCAAAGATTATACTTTTCATATACCACAGAAAAATTTCTCAAAGTTACACAATAGCACCAGATGTTGGCAAATCCTGTACCAACATTAGATACGTTGCCTACAGTTTGGTCAATATAGCCAATATCGGCTAAATATTGGTTAAACAATGTCTCCCAATATTTCAAAATCATCATCGATCCAATATCGGACCAATGCGATTATCAAATGTGCCGAAGTGACACTTAAAAGTTTTAGGGAAATATTGAAGTTCTCATCCGGCAACTAGATGGAGGTGTTGGTACATAAAAGTACCCTTCCCGCTTTCCCTAGAATCGTCCCTCACAATAGCGTTTCGTACCTCTTCATCTCTGACCTTGTCTAATATTAAGAATCAATAAAAGCGGGCACTTCATCATTTATTATCCTCGTATTCTAGACAGATTCATGGTGCCCAAGCCATAAACAAGTTCATATTTCATTTCAAGAACTCTTTTCAAAGTTTGTGAGCCTTCATCCAACAGGAGTTTTAGAACGCTTATCCAGCGTCCGTTAGCTCAATCCACAGTTTTCACATGTTTAAGACAGGATTCATGGTTACTCCGCAGAACGTTGAGGGATTGACCATCCCTTGACATGCACATCATTTAATACATTCAGGGAGGATGAAACTCTGGAATGTACTACATCTCATACCTATCCATGGTACAGACACTGCTTTATGCATGGACAGGTACAGCCTTCGTATAGGCTCCGTACTGTCGATAAGAATGTCTTCACCAGGGCTTTAGGCAATGAATATAAGCATATTGCACAAAATGATAAATCTAATATGAACGAGAGGAATGGGTGGCAAAGTCATGATTTCTGCAGCATGACAGCACCAAGACTCATCACGTCTTCGTCGTAGTCTTGAAACTTTTGATCAGCTCTCATAAACGGTCGTTACTAAGTCACTGACGGTAATTCAAACCTTGTTCTAAATATGAAAGAAATATGAATTTTGGTGCACAAATGGTTTAAGTGCTTGCTTGAGAAAATATGACTTCGGAGGCACATCCCTAACGGGTACACTTTGCTGGGTGGCATTATACATGGTGTTCCATTAAAAACGCAACCCAAAGTATCAATACAACAGCAACAATATGAGATGAACGAGTTATTTGATAGTTCTTATTTCTTAGGAAGAATATTACAGGAACGTACAGAACAGCTTCACAGTAGATGCTGAAAATTTCCACCACTTTCTCGAGGACAAGATTTAATTTTTGTACAATAGTACATGATTGTTGTTGGGTTGCGTTTTACATGGAACACTTTGTACAATACATTTTTCGCTTAAACGAAGCGAATGGATGTAAACAACTGAAACTTGGAACACACATGGGTACCTGTTGAGATGAAGATTTCATAAGAGATTGGAGATTTTATGATGCCAGTGAACTTCGAAACTCCGTAAATATCGACTCCTCTTGATGGAATAGTCATGGGACCAGTGAACTTTATTCTGTTATTTGGAGTATTCCAATAACCGAAACTATCATATTGAACTTCTTCTCCCTACTTCATCAGTTTTTTATTTATTGATACAGTTGTTGGCTTCACTTGATCCCATGTACTTTTCAAAATGTGAATTGCATCGAACAAACTGACAGGTTTTTGCCATGTCCTTTGCAGACATTGTTTTATCTTCCTCAAGGCTGCTCCAGACCTTCTGAAGGATCTTCTTACGGTAGTGGCATTTGATGACGCTTTGCAACCATAGGTTGAATTAACGAAGTTGTGTAGACGGGCAGAAATTCAATATTGATGTTGCTCAGCTTGAGGCTTGCAGCCCTCACGTGACAGGTGGCATCTAATATACTGTATATAGACGATCGTCTGACTGATTGACTGACTGACTGACGCTAATTCTAACCATGTTCTAGAAGGGTTAGAATTCTGAAACTTGGTATACANGACTGACTGACTGACGCTAATTCTAACCATGTTCTAGAAGGGTTAGAAATCTGAAACTTGGTACACATGTACCTTTTGGAATGCAAAGTTCAGAAAAAAAATCCGACTTTGGAGGTACATGCCCTAGGGGTACACATTTTGGGGGGAAACGTTTTTCTTAAATATATTTTGTGACAGATGAGGAGGGCATTCAGAAAATCAATTGGATGTTGTGGGTTCAGTGGTGTAGTAGTAGCATAATCTGACAATCAGAAGGGCAGGATTCTATTCCCGGCCATTCCTCGGCTTTCGTTTGCCTAGTTTTGCCTTCCATGTCCCGTTACTCATTCCACCTCCATAACATTATTTTTGCTTGGGTAAAACGGAGAGACATAGAAAGCTGAAACTTGGCATGTACGTGCCTACCAAGACGATGAGTTCAAGAAAAATGCAAAATTTTACATCCATGCCCTGGGGCAAATTTTTGTGAGCCGACGTTTTCAAGTATTTTTTTTCTCCAGGCGTATTGAGCTAGTGGGGAAAGATGAAACCTGGTACATAACTGCCTATTGGGATGCTGCAGAAAACTTCAGACCTTGGAAGTAAATGCCCTGGGGGCACAAATTTCAAAAGGAGATGTTTTCAAATAATTTTTTGCATCAGTTAAACTGATGAACATGGAAAGCTGGAACTTTGCATGAATGTGACTACTGAGACAAGGAGTTAAATAAAAATGTTAAGTCTAATAAAGTTATAACATTTTGAAAAATTTGCGCAGTGTTGCAAGACTTTCTTTCCAACCCAATATTTTGAAAAAGGGGTATTTTCACGAATTTTCTGATCCAGCAAAATAGAGGGCGCATGAAAGTTAAAAACTTGACAAATAAGTACCTGATGGATAGCTGCGTATAGAAAAAATTCTACTTTTCTAATATATATTGACGATCGTGACTGACTGACGCTAATTCAAAAAGGGGAAACGCATAAAACTGAAACTGGATGGCATGGAGTTCCCTGAGTCTCAATTTCAGAAGAAAAAATTTTTTCGCTAAAACCCATCAGGGCTCTTTTTTTTAAGTCCCATTTTCATGAATTTTTTTTTTGATCCAACGAAACATAGACTGAAAATTTAAAATTCCCTCAGAAGTATCTATTTAATGGGTGCGTACACGAAAAATCCTACTTTTGAAATATGTCTCCTCAGCGGAGATTATTGGAGGGAAGTATTTCAAAATGTATTCTCCATCCTTACCAAAAGGGACACAAGAAAAGATTTGAAGTTAGGCACACTAGAAATCATAAAAGTAATGATTTCGAAAAAAATCAAGTCTTTCGTCCCCATAAGTCACGTATTTCAATGGGGACGTACTTTCAATACGTGTTTGCCATTTCGCAAAGAATAAATGAATTAATCACTATCCAAGGTTTTGGAGCGCCGAAGGCGCGATCATAGCGAGTTTGTTTGCCCGAAGGGCAAACAAAATCGCTAGTCATCTATGAATAGGATTATCCTCTTTTACTTTTTCTTCATTGCTTCACTTCCAATTTTCTTTATCTTTGATGATCTACGAAACTTGCTTATGAGAGATCCCAAACTCCCGAGCCAATTCAGTTTGCGTCTTCTTTTCGTCCTAATGGGCATTCAGAACTGCATTCTTTTCGGTCAAGCTTAGGTCCTTCCTTCTCCCCATGGTCAACTCGGAATGAACAGATCTGTTGGCTACAGCCTCAATTTATTGCCCAGGTGAACATGCTTCCACTTTGACCTGAAAATGGTAGGCCTCGTCTGCACATCTGCAGCCTATATTTACATCCCAATTTCCAAGGAAAGGGTGGTTCCACGAAGCGAGAGAGTGGGACTGGGAGAGGGCCGGTGGGGAACTTCCAACTATGCACAATAGGAAAAAGAAGGAATTTGTTTCTAAAAAGATGAAAATGTATATAAGGGGCGTTCAACTGAAAACGAGCCAATTAACGTAGCTCGGTGGTGACGTGATTTCGCACATGCGTGTTGGGTGCCACTGGACACGGCGTATATATAGAGCACCGTGAGTGGCAAACCGCGCACTTATCGGTGGTCCGTGCGGTACAAGAGGTGGAAAGTGTCCAAGGACGAGCAACGTGGAGTGATCCGCTTTTTGACTGCAGAAGGTGTTGGTGCAACAGCCATGCATCGTCGAATGCGGGCGATATATGGACAGTATTGTTTGTCTTGGCCCGCGTGAAGCATTGGTGTAAACGGTTCCGTGAGGGCGACCACAAGGGCCCTGTCCACGTGGAGTTCTTATGCTTATTTCACAGTGGGACAGGTACCTCAACAACGGCGAGGATTACGTCTGAGATATGACACACATTTCCTTGACTGTGACTGTTTGATCGTTTTCAGTTGAACGCGCCATAAATATTTCACAATCCAGGAAAGTTTTATCCCGTTAACCAAGTTATTCTATTAACCGTATTCCTTTATGCTTTTTTTATAATGCGTCATATGGACGAAAAAACGGGACCGTGCAATTGTATTCCATATCTGTTTTTGAGATGTCTTTCACTACAATGAAAGAGACAAACAGATTTGTAAATTTAGGAAATGTAGCTTTTTGAATGTTGAGTTCAGGGAAAATCATATGATTTGGCTATGATGCTGTCAAAACCTTTTGGAGGGTGCGGGAGAAAAGGTAATTGCAAACTTTTTTCGCTTCTGGATTACGATTGTTATTGTTTTCCTATGAAAGGTGCTTCTTTTTGGGGAAACTAAAAATTTCCGTTTGTTTCATGTTATTGACATCAGGTTGGCAATGATGTCACACAACAGTAAGTAACTTTTCTATAAACCATGGAGCT